CAGCCAGACTATCCAAAACTGGAATCGAACGCCCCCCCAGAACTACACATGCTGGCTATTGTGTTTCGCAAAATGTTCTATGGGACGTCTCTACTGAACGTTTTCGTTTTTCCCACAATTAGAAGTTGCCAGTATTAAACACATTGGTGTTATCAAATGTAAAACATATCATTAATAAATGGGTGAAAATCGCTTGTGTCCATAATGCGCAGCATTAATACCCACATGACAGCTCATTGTTACTTTGTAATTCTACTCCACTACAATTCAGAGGTTAACCTGGTATTTTTACTCCACTGCATTTATTTGAGTTACTTTGCAGATTCTGATTAATTATGTGAAATATAAACAACCCTTAAATCAGACTTTAGTTACACCTGAGTAAAATTCAGGTAAGGTGATTGTCAAATGCCAACAATCAGGAGAGATATTTGATATTTGGTGCTTGAGAAGACTAAACATGTATCTGCAATTGACATGAATGGAAACGAGTAATAAAGTATATTCATTACTCGTTATTCTCTACTAATAGTTAATTAAAGACTGTATATTATGGCTATTTTGCACATCCCTTTCAAGATTTTCAAAGGTGTATTGACATATCATATACACAACTACGGTGTAGTTATGCAATGAATGAAACACTTGGGTCACAGGTTCCTCAACAGTGCATTACAAGACATCTATCAATATGTGTGTATCTCCACCATTAAACTGTCATATTCTGCACATTTCTTATTCTATCTACATAAGAGTATAATCCATATGTATAATATCAGTTAAAATAAGTGCTTCAACATAGTTAACATTGCAGGAAAGCAATATATTAGACGTTAAGTACTTTATCAGGCTTAATATTTATCTGTAGATAGATACCCCCAAAGTTTTTTTCTTATTTAAAAGAAGACCTTAATCTGTTATTTAATGTTTAAATAAAGGTTAATTCGTTTTTCTGTTTTGCACCTCCTCCTATTAATATCGTTGTACATTCTGCACTAAACTGTTTTATTGTAGAGATCACTTATAGTATCTTCTTGATTTTTTATATTCTATATTTATACTTTCCCCCTATGAAAGTATGTACACTTAATATTTTTTTAATCAAATAAAACACAATAATTCAATAACGTGCTTTAACCACTAGGAGGTGCACACAAGGTACACACAGCCATAATAACTTTGTATTATTAGTGTAGGACACTTTTGTTTTCTGAAGATGTGTAGTTTTATGCATGCTTTCACATAATTTTACAGCATATTGCTATACTATTTCAGACTCAGTATTCACATTCTTACATTCAAAGAAAATCAGTAATATCTTTAAAAACTACAGTCCTTTTATATCAGCTGTGCACCGTTATGGTGTCAATATAACCTATCTGTGAATTAGATCAAATGTAAAAGTCAGCCGAATTAGTGTTGATACTGCAAGGAGACGTATTGTGTGAAGAGAAATTGAAGATGTTGTTTAATTGTTGAATATATTTATGATCCACGTCAAGTATTCAGTTTCGGCGGCATTTTCTCAGTTTTTCCAAAGGTCTTCTCATCAGGGCTCTATAAATAAAGAACTACGGCAGATCTGTAATATACAATGCAGCCGAACCGTGTATTACAATGCCGTTATGTGATGACTTTCAAAGTGAAAAGCAAGAGCGCTCGGAATTAAGTATTATTTTAAAATGTTTTCCGGATTTCATATCATATAAACACAAAATCCCAGCATGCATTGCGGCTAAAACATCCAATAAGCGAGCTTAAAACCATAGCTGAGGATCTTGGGTAATCGCTCGAAATGCCTACGTCTGTTTCCGGTTATTTTTATTTTGAAATTCAGTTCCTGACGGACGCCAATAAAGCCAGAGATTATGGAATTAAACCAATAAATAAAAGCAAGGATAATTTTGTGTTATTGGTGAGTAAATAACAGTGTGTTATTTTGAAAAGAATAACAAATTAGAAGGAAAAAAAGATTTAAAAAATACAGATTTCAGTATTCTGAGGCTCTGAGCCCCATTTATTTTCCTCACAGACGGCAACAAAAGTTCGAAATTATACGATTTCAAATAAAAGCAATAACTGTGGCTTGATATTGAGTAAGAACATGTTTTTATGAACCACACAGCTTCCGGTCTTCCTCGACCCGACCGGAGAAAAAGACGTGCTGCAGGCAGTAGAAATACATTACTTTTAAAATCGTGCTGTGCAACACGAAAAAAAGGGGCAAATCGTGTTGGTGAACACGAATCAATAGATTCAAAATCGTGTTGGTGAACACGAAATGCCGTGAGACTGGGTTGACTATACAGAGATGCTGTATGAGAAACCAATGTAATTTTGGAACATTGAACAATGTAAATCTATTCTAGTAGACCTCAACAATGGAATTATGATCAGTAGAAATGGCCATGACATGGGACCTTTAATTCATCTCAAATGCATACATCTTACCAACTCACAACAAACAGGAAACAAACTACAGGTGGGCTTTAATGACATGCAACAAAAGATAATAATTCAAACAAAAAGCTGAAACTACCATGTTTGTACACGCACACAGCCACAGATGCCTAGAAAAGCACCAGCTATTGTTTCAAATGGCTGAACAAACTTATTTCACCAAATCAGCATGCAGCTAAGGGCAGATGTAAGGTTTGAGAAAACAAATCAATGCAGTTATTATGATATCACGGATATGTTGGAGCAGCAGAATGGCTGAACCACAAAGACGTGAAAAGCTGCAAAAACATAGTCAATAGGATATAAAGTGAATTTAGGGAGCATATGTCAATCAAGATGTGTGCTTTCACAGTAGCAAGCTGCAGAATGGAGCCGACAGCTGCACAGACGGATCATCACTCCAGATACTCACAGCTGTGCAGTACAGGCAGTATAACCACTGAGTAATTGTAAAAGCCTCATTCCAAAAACAAATGTACAAAAGGATAAAATCTGACACTTCTGTATGTTTAAACATGCAGTTGGCACACTTCACTGAGTGAAGTCATTTTGTGCTGAAAATCTGAATCTAAGCTGCTGGGTGTCAGTGTTGTATTGAAGAATGTAATCATGGTGCCTGAGCTTACCCATGTCCATACACTCTCTACTGCAATCTAATTGTACTGCTTGCATAACACGCAATAGGTATTTGAAATCTAAACAGCACACAACTGGAGTTCACACTTGGGGCCTTTTGATAAGTCAAAGTTATTTTCAAAATTGCATGAAATCTGCCACAAAGGTAGGGTGTGACAACAATCACATCTCTAAGCATTTTGGATGGATCTATAGATTGGTGCAATGAAGATATATTTTCGTAGGGGCTCCCTCAACAAAAAGCTGAATTATTTTTCCATTGGACTTGGAATATCGCAGTGGCAAAAACACAGTTATGATACTTGTTCAGCAGGATAATCACCATTTATTAACACCACTCTTATGAGTTTTGAAGCGTAAATGCAATCACTAGAAGTAAAAAGCTAACAGTAGGCTATAAACAAACTACACTACAGTCGCATGACTGGATATCACCACTGCTAAGCTAAAGGCGGCTAATATTTAGCTTGATGATGTTTACTAGTCTTATTAAGTCACACAGAGAAGCTTTGGACATTCAAGTGACACACAGCTCTACATCAGAGCAAACCCAACCCCCTCTGCACCTCTGCCATCATCCACAATAACCACATGCCTGGAGGAGATAAAGGTGTGAAGCACAACTTCCTCCAGCTAAACAGCTCCAAGACTGAAGCCATTCTTATTGGCACTCCACATCAGGTTCGTTCATCCGCCATCACCAGCATCACCTTCTCCGGTCAGAACATTCCACTCTCACCAACGGTTACCAATCTGGGAGTTAAAATGGATCCTCACTTGAACTTTGAGGCCCACATCAAGCAAATATGCAAGACCTCTTTCTACCACCTGAGAAATATTGCGAAACTCCGCCCCACACTCAGTCTACCAGATGCTGAAAAGCTTGTCCACGCCTTTGTCTCCTCCAGGCTGGACTACTGTAACGCACTTCTCTTTGGGATTCCTAGCAAGAACATCCAGAAGCTGCAATACATCCAAAACACCGCTGCTAGGATCCTGATGAGAGTGCGGAAGTACGAACACATCACACCCATCCTCAAATCACTGCACTGGCTCCCGGTCTCACTCAGGATTGACTACAAAATCACCCTCTTCACTCATCAGTGCATATATGGAAATGCTCCCTCCTACATCAAGGAATTGCTCACCCCACAAACCTCCACGAGGAACCTACGTTCAGTAAAGGCAAACCTCCTCATCCCACCAAGGACAAAACTAAAGACCATGGGAGACCGAGCCTTCTGCTCCACTCCTCCGAGACTGTGGAATGCCCTCCCAAACCAGCTGAGGGCAACACAGACTGTGGAGGCTTTCAAAAAAGGCCTAAAAACGCATCTTTTTAGAATAGCCTTTAACTAGATTTTTAAATCCCCCACATTATGCCATGCCGGCATGAATGTCACAGCTTTTATTATGTTGTTTAAATTGTTTTTAAATTGTTTTTATTGTTTTGTTTCACCCTTTTTAATTTTGTAGCACTTTGAGTTTTGTTTACGCAAATTAAAAGTGCGCTTATAAATAAAATATATTATTATTATAAGTGACATATTTTATATCGCTTAAGAAAACTTGACATTCTCGTAAGACCATTCTTCAGGCATTTAACCACATAAACATTTACAAACATTTGAGAACAAGAAATGTTAAATGCTAACTCATTTCTGGGTGTTAGAACTCATTCCTGCACAACTCTATTGAGTGAACAAGCAGCAAGACAATCTAATTATCCTCTCGTGTTTGTTTCATCATTCTGTTACACATATTTTGTTATCATCACATAACAACTTCAAGCCGTGCTCAAGGCAAACATAGAACATGACCTCAGACTGTTCCATGTGAAGGGTAATCATTTCAACTACAAGGCTGCCCTTCTTTAACTGGCTGACAAGCAAATTGATTCTCACCTCATATTTTGGAGCTTCATTCCACGAGTCCAGTTGGAAGGAGAAGGACAGGCCTCGAAAGTTGAGATGGAACAACTGCTCTGCAGCATTGTAAACTGAACAGAGGGGAATGGAAATGGAAACATTCAATGAAAAGCTAAATAACGTTAACATTCAGGCGCGTTTGTGAGACATCCTTTAATGTGTTTTTGCTTTGTAGTACCTCCAGGGTGTGTAGCTCCAAATGACTGGTCTATTTGCTCTATTGTGGGGGCAATGGCCTGAGAGTTGAAATGGACTCCACTGAAACACAATACACACAGCCTGTGTTACATCTATTAACGCTTATACAGGATGTACTGCATTAGTTGTGGACCTTTTGCCGAAGAAGTAAAACAGATTCAGCTGGAAGATAATCATACATACAGACATTAAGAAACACATTAACACAGGGGGACTCCATTACTGGGATGCCTCTAACTATATAGCTGTATTACTCTGAGATGCTATGCCTTGTAATTAAAAAAGATTCATGTTGCAACTTAGAATGTACAGTGTATGATTACAATGGCCATTAGATAGATAAGAGCCTGTAGATAAAGGCCTATAACAATAACACATGAGAGTCTAAGATGATTGAAATCGCTCCTACACGTTTCTAAAAGCAACTAGAAGGCAATATACATTTTGCATTAGTATATTGGTATTATATTTGTACTCACCAATATTTCAGCTTGACTTTGCTCAGGTCGTACACTTCAATCACCTGTCATTCAGAAAGATGAAAAAAATGACAACGTGAACAAATTAAAATGGTTACTTAGATGTCAATAACAATGCCTAAAAAGTCTGTTTACATCTATCTAGAAAAAGGTGGGGTTTAGCAACTGCTGCTGCTAAATAATTGCGGTGCAATACCACAGCCACCTCTCCTCCATATCTGCAGTGGAACTCCAAGTTCAATTCAATCACTGTTCAAATTCCTGTCTAATATTACCTTAAATAAATACATGTCATATACAGATCCTGAGCTTATTGAGAGTCTTTTCAAAGGTCCTAAAATCCACAACTTTCACCTTGAGTCTCTGATTTGTGGCATCAAACAGCAGTTTAATCCCATCCTGAGTCAAATTCAGTATGAGGTCATGGCTGAGTGGCGTCTGAAGGGGAGATAAACAAAAAAGCAGATTAGCTGATATGCAGACAGGCAAACAATCAAAATCAGCTCATTTTCAACTTAACCTAGGAAACAAGTAAGACACACAAATATAGACTGCTTCATATGAATGAATGCAAGTGTAATTGATGTGTTTTATTTTTGGTGTCATCCATGTTAACATGAACTACTTCCAGTTGCTCTTGATACAATCTTTAATCTAAAAAGGTATATGATAGTGTAAACTTCCCTTTATGACCTTAGGTAATAGCTATTGAACCTTGGGGGATAATTATAGCCTGACATGCATTTGATATTTGAGGCTATATCTTTTTTTTGTTTAAAATTTTTAAAAAATCCGGATTGTTTACTTTTAAGGAGGATTTGTAGTACACTGAAGTTGCAGATTGCAACTAACTGAATGCCCCTTTGCTCACCCCACACTTTCTAATCGTGTCATAGAACCTAAGGTGGCCTTCAGGATATGCCCTCTCAAGAATCATTGTTTGTTTTTTCTGTTTTGGGATACTGTAGAAACATGGAGGTGCAACATAGGACCACATATATTCTTAGTAATTCATTTGATAAAACACTAATGCACTACACTAGGTCAAAAATGTTTGTCATATTGAATCTTATCAGCAATACTAATATCGATATACGTTTAATAAAATACGTGAATGCAATACAGGACAGCCTAAACAAAACTAAATAAATACTGCTGCCTAACATTACATTACATTACATTGCATTTAGCTGACGCTTTTATCCAAAGCGACTTACAATAAGTACATTCGACCAACAAGATACAAACTTGAGGAAAAGAGAATCATATAAGTACATCAGGCTTCATAGAGCAAAAACATTTCAAGTGCTACTCAACTGGCTTTAGATAAGCCAGTCCTTTATTAGTATATAAGTGCTTTGTTAATAGTTCTATCGCTCGAAGTGGAGTCGAAAGAGATGAGTTTTCAGTCTGCGCCGGAAGGTGTGTAAGCTATCTGCTGTCCTGATGTCAATGGGGAGCTCATTCCACCATTTTGGAGCCAGGATAGCAAACCCACGTGTTTTTGCTGATGGGAACTTGGGTCCCCCTCGCAGCGAGGGTGCAGCGAGCTGTTTGTAACATGAGATTCTTAAACAAGCTATTTAACCTTTCTTGTGTGTTTGTGTCTGAGAGAGAAAACACAAATGAAGAAATACATTTATTACCTGTTCACTGTATAGCACCTGGACATTTTTGATGATGCGGCAGTGTTTCTGCAGGATAGAGATGGCCTGGGCCAATGGCATCCCTGAAAACACAACAACGAAATGAAGAAATTCAATTTCTTATGGAGCCTTAGCCGTTTGCAGTTAACAATAACATAAGCATACAAGAGACACATTAAATGTGACTTTCAACATTACTGATAGCTTGTAGATGCATTTGTTCTTTTCATCACTGTTATGTTGTAAAACTTACCTAAGGCGAATTCCCATTGCTCATTTCCTAGTGATCTCTCAGGCACCACTTCAAGATCCAGCATTGACAAGTAGTGGGGGGCAGCTCACCTCACCTCAAGACACAATGAGACCCTCTGAGGGACCCTTTTTTCCTCGCCTGTCTCTCCCTGATCACAACACAGTCTCACAATAGTTTAAGATCTGTCTACTCTAATTCATAACTCTATTGAGTAATTGTTCTAAATGTGACCATCAAACAACTAATACAAATATGGTAAAGAGTGGTCCCTTTCTCACAAGTCACAAGTGTGTTTAATATTTAAAATGACATCCACAGAGCCTCGTAATAAATGCATACGTTAAACAAATTATAATCTATTTAACAAGTTACCCAGGAAAGACTGACAGCTTGTAGGAAAACAAATTACGCAACCTGTCAGGCAACCTAAAACGAACAAGGCCAGCTGTCAGTTAACCTATTACTTGTTCGCTTGGTTTTAAAATCGATGCAATCCACTCGGGAATAAACAAACAGATAAGACGGGCGTGTTCATTAACCACAATGATCTACTAAGAGCTCTTATTTAACATCAACTTGTCCGGTTTCCGTGCTGCCCTGTGTCTCCAACACAGCACCTGATCCAGGGACAAACAGCTGGAAAATAGAGGCACGACAACACTTTCTCAGAGCCTGAATATTGACACTGTTAGCTGTCGTTATCTGTCAGAGGCGGGCGGTTACGAAAGCATCAGCGCTCGACAACAACACTGGTTATATGCGCTATGGGCTAACGTTAGCTGATGAGCTAGCTGCCACTAGTGTACGGGTAATGAAGTATACATGTAAATAGTCTAGGTGAGGAAACAAAATCCACATTCAAGACAAAGAAAAAAAAATATCGCAGCTCAGACTGGCACGACGTAAACAAAGCACGTAGAGCGGTCTACTGTCTCTCTTTCTTCCTCTCACCGGAGCTTGAAGCTTTGAAGCTAGCTCTTCAGCAGCTAGTGCGCAAATTCAAAGTCCTCGCTGCGAGACGCTTCCCTTGTCACTTAGAAGCTCTTCAGGCAGTAATGCTTAATGCCCACCGTATCTCTTTCTCGGGTTTAATATGCGTTCAGTGTCAGGAGCAGATAAGAGCAACACAGTGCCCCAACAACAGCAACTTCAGGCATCAACAACAGCCAGCAGGATCAGCTGATGATTCAACTTCCTGTGTTCAACGCACGCTCTCGGTTGGCGTGATGACGTCATGGTCAATTGAAACATAATTCGTTTTCGCCAGCGCCATATATATAGATAATATATGGCGCTGGTTTTCACCATTGACTGTATGGTTTTCGCGCAATACCTTTTGGGGTTTTACTGTATTATTAACCTGTTAAGCACTGAGCCTGTTTTTCAGGTCTCAGGCTCGAAAATGAAATTTCCAGAACAAATGACCATAACTACACTTCTAAAAGGGGGAAATTAATAATCTTTTGTCTCAAAGTAATGATAAACCTGTGAGTTGGATGTAGAAAAGTCAGAATCAATATAGATGTTTTTTATTTTAAAGAAAATTCAGATTGAACATAGTCAAACAACTAAATTATAGTGTCCGTCCAAAAAAAATAGTTTTTACTTACAGTGAAAATACCCTTGGATGATGGTAAGGTAGACTAAAAGCTTTAGGAATCCAAAGTGCAACATATAATAAGTACCCTGTATCAAGATTGATGCAAAACAAGTGACATTTGAGCTTTTTAGAGAGGTTTAGCAAAACAAACTCCACCTCTGAGGTGATTTGGGTGGAAATGGCCGTTTTTTACCGTTTCTCTGGAACCCATTGGTCTTTTTGACCGTTAGAGCCAATAGAATCGAAGGGGAATTTCCACATACATTCCACATATACACCTTACCATTAAGAAATGAGAGCTATGCGCACACAGTTTTGCATGAGAGCGAACCTATCTCTCGCTCTGACATCTGGAAACGGAAAAGCAGGTTTATTGCTTATGGATCATTTCAAAGGTGTCATCTCTCGCAAATTATGTTAGTTTAGTTAAGTGTTTTTGTCTTTGTCTAGTGATTTTCCCCTTTATTTTTGAATAGCAACCTTCCCTCTCGTTTCAGATACTCTGACCTCCCTTCCTTGTGTGTCTCCCACTCCTGTGATTGCCGACCCCCCCCCCCCCCCCCCCGATTGTTTCCACAATCCTTTGGTTATTCATACTCCTAGTGTTTTTCCTCATTGAAGTGATTTTGTTTTGTATACCACTGTAGTTGAGCCATGGTTTGAATGAACCTTTTTTTGTTAAAAACCTGTGTGAGTCGTGCATTTGCATACCTGCCAAGTGCCAACCCTATACCGATTTGGGCGGTAGACCGCTTTTGACATGTTTCTACCGCCTACCGACTTAGCTGGCTTTCCCTACCGATTTTCAATCTTCCCAAACTATAACAAATAAAAATGACACTCCATAGACACTGGACTCGACTTTTGGCGGACACCGTTTGCAGCGTGTCTGTGATCGCATCATACTGTAAACCAGTGGTCGCCAACCAGTCGAGTGTGGTGTCATTCAAGCTCGGCTCTGTGTGTGTGTGGCAATAGCGCATTTAGTGTGATAGAGAGAGGGAGAGAGGGAGAGAGGGAGAGAGGGAGAGAGGGAGAGAGGGAGAGAGGGAGAGAGGGAGAGAGGGAGAGAGGGAGAGAGGGAGAGAGGGAGAGAGGGAGAGAGAGGGACCGGTGCTAGCGGGGACCGGGATGTTAGCATCTGGTTAGCTAGCTGCACTAACGGACATAAGGAGCTGTTTCCACAACAAGCTGGAGGAGAGTCCTCTCCTGTCAGACTGAGGGGCTCAGGTGAGCTAAAGGACTCTCTGAGTGTTAAGAACGGTTTTGTCACAAATTATTCAAAAGATTATTTCCGCGGCACACCTTCATATGATCATTATAGTTATACAAACAATAAGAGAATAAATTAAAAACAGGTATGAAATACTATATGGCAGTAAAACAAGAATACAGTTTAAAAGGGGAGTGATTTGTAAAATATCCATGAAGAAAAAGAAAATCTGTTTACAGTTCTGTTTCATATGGGTGCTGAGAGAGGTATCCATAGATCTCTTAATGTTGCTCTCAAAGTGCACCAGATTGATGCTTTCAACTTCAATATTTTAAAAAAAATCTTCCCGGGGGCGCATCCCCCCGGACCCCCCTAGAGGAGGTGAGGTCCGCCCCCCACTCATAAAAAATAGCACTTTACCCCTGCCTATATGCCGTGAGCTGATTATGGAGCCTTCATTGTAACAGTAATACAGATGCAATTAGCCTATATAAAAGGCCTCAAATTGGAAGCACTGTCTGGGCCGTCTTTTTCACTCAATTCTGCAATAGGTAGATCTCGCCTTTCACCTAGGCCGAGGTCGGTGATCTTGGGCTTAAGAAGGTTGGTGACCACTGCTGTAAACAGTCCTCTGTGTTTCTGAAAGAGAAACAACGTGCAGACCGGGGGTAACGCTGCGGGAAACAGGGTCGGCTCTAGAACAAATCGAATGGGGGGGGCAATCATTTACCAAGGGGGGGCACACACTGCCGTCAACAACCAACACACAAACACCAATGCAACTTCAATTTAAAAAAACATGCTGTAAAGTCTATTGTCTTTCACACATATTGCAGGGTGTGCTATTGTATAGCGCACCTATGATTTGTGCATACATGCACGGTTGTGGCACAACCACCAAAACAGAAACATATGGACATAGGCCACCATATAAAAAGGGTGCAAATGTATTTAGTATCCTATCCATGTGAACATGTTTTAGGTGGGTGTGGACCTAACCTCCTCTAGGAGGGTCCGGGGGCATGCTCCCCCGGGAAGATTATTTTAAAAATATTGAAGTTAAATGCATCAATCTGGTGCACTTTGAGAGCAACATTAGGAGATCTATGGATAGTCTACATCTCTCAGCATCCATATGAAACAGAACTGTACACAGATTTACTTTTTCTTTATGGATATTTTACTAATCACTCCCCTTTTAAACTGTATTCTTGTGTTACTGTCCTATAGTATTTCATACCCGTTTTTCATTTATTCTCTTATTTTTTTAATAACTATAGGCTAATGATCATATAAATGTGTTCCTCACAAATACTTGTTTACATAAATGGTGACCAAACCGTTTGAGACCCACTGAGATAATTTACACTAAAGTGAACTATCTAAACACTGAGAGAGTCCTTACCTCACTGAGCTGAGGTTATACGATCCTCTCAGTCTGACAGGAGAGGACTCTCCTCCACCTTGGTGTAGAAACAGCTCTTTATATCCGTTAGCATAGCTAGCTAACCAGATGCTAACAACAACATTCCACGTTACCGCTCGCGCACTCACAAAATGCGATCGTGCCACACACACACAGAGCCGAGCTTGAATGAAACACAGAGACCCAGAAGTAGGCTACTTGTACTGTACTGTATATCATATTATTTCCAATGCTTTACTGTATAATCAGTGTAACAGATGAACAGATCGCCACCGGGCTTTCATCTAAACACACAGCCACGTAATGATAACAAAACAAAAGTTAGGAGTCATTGGTCAAGCAACACACCAATCAGAGAGCAGCAGTGAGCACACCTCAGGCTGTGTTTTATATTTGTATTCTTTATTTCTGACGTATTTCACACAAAAAACCTTTAGTGGAAACGTTTTGACTTATATGATTTAAAAAAAAAAAAACGGCAGAGTGGCAAGGCTTGCCCACCCTGCGTTGGGGGGGCACAGTGACTCATTTGGGGGGGCATGGCCCGCGAATGACCCCCCATGACGCCGACCCTGGCGGGAAAGCAGAGCCATATAATAGAAGAGTTACGACATCTCCGTTCACTCCAATGGACCAGTTTTTTACAGCAATGGCGGATCGTGGAGCCTCTCAATAGTTCCCCGGAAGTTAGGGAACTATTGAGAGGATCTGTGGCTAGCAGTCTATGGTTGCAGCATAATAGACCGTTCATGATGGACTTTTGAAGGTAAGAAGACGTTTAAAGATTTATATTGCGGATATTATCAGAACATCTGAATCAAATTAACTACACATGTGTATTAAGTAAGGGATAATGTGCAGCAACGCGGTCATTATGGGGAAAAGAACACCGACAGGCTGATCAGGAGCCCGACGCGAAGCGGATGGATCTAGATAGGCATGAAGGTGTTATTTTCCCCATAATGACCAAGTTGCTGCACATTATCCCGCTTATTACATGGCCACATTCTCAACAAAGTAACATTATGAATCCCAATATTAATTGAAATGCTTTTATGGATTTAGAAAATTATTTTATTGATTTAAAAAATAGTTGTATTGATTTAAATTGACATGCATCCGCTAAGAAAAATAGTCCGTTGTTACTGTTTGAACTAACGTAGCAACGGCAGGAAGTGCTTCGATAGCGTTTTTGAGGAGCTTTTTGATTACAGATTTGAAAACATCGCTGCTTGCTTTAAAAGTAGCACAATTCATTAAGTCAAACCTTGGAAAATATCTAGATATCCCTGCCCTAATGCCAAAGGAACTGCACACTGAATATGTGTCGCCGTTTGATGTCTATGTCTGGACCGCTGCGTAAAAAGGAGGGTTTCTGCCCGTTACTTCTCCGCTGTTTTCTTGTCCCTCTTGTCTTTTTCTTTTCTTCACTGGGGACTCATCAGCCACTAACCATTACTCCAAATTACTGTGCTCTCCAAATATATTAAAATTAATGTTAAAATCCTCCATGTTGCTATCACACGACAGCGGAAAACTAAAGACAATCAGACAGTTTGCTTGCTTTTCAAACTGTTACATTTGAAAAACAGTTAGAGCGTCTCTTGTCAGTTTGAAAAGCCAACGGTAGGAACTGCTTGCGTTTTTGAGGAGCTTTTTGATTACAGATTTGAAAACATCGCTCCTTGCTTTAAAAGTAGCACAATTCATTATGTAAAACCTTGGAAAGTATCTAGATATCCCTGCCCTAATGCCAAAGTAACTGGCAACTGAATATGTGTCGCCGTTTGATGTCTCTGTCTGGACCGCTGCGTAAAAAGGAGGGTTTCTGCCCCGTTAATTCTGCGCTGTTTTTCATGTCCCAGTTCGAAAAGCAAACTGCATGCCCAACGGTATACAGTTAAATCGATCGGACTTCTTTCTGAAGATGTGAGCGTCCTTAACAACGGTCAATAAGTGCTT